CACCAGATCACATATCTGTAAGCAAAAGGAAAAGTGAATCTAGGTGGACTAGCAGATGTTAGCCATGGTAGGAACTAACAGTTGAGTGTCCACCAATACCATCTAATAGTCTTTTTGTTCCCTTTGTGCTAGACATTCCTAACTGGAATTTAAAGTTTGGGCTATTAGAAAATTTGGATAGTCTGTCATTCAGTTACTAATTACCCTTCTGTATTGTTCCATTTTGTGTAAAATACATTAGTAAACAGTGAATTTGAGCTAGAAATGTCTAGAAATACTGATCCTGGAACAAAATGACAATATTATTACATTTTCTGGATGGAAGATAGTCTCTTGGCTTCATCATAGTGTTTAAAACATTTCTTTCCTTTCCTTTACTTCTGCTAATATAACTAAATTAGGTATGCCCATTGCTGACTCTATAGCCTTGTGTGGAGCCCTGGTATCCTTGGCTCACTTCTGATCTCACTCTCTATCCTCCTACCATGATCCTCCTACATTTCCCCAACTGTCATATGACATCTCTAAGTCTCTCTCATTTAGAATCCCAGTCTGTTCTTGCCCAGAGCATTCTTCTTTGAGAGTACCAAGAACCTTTCTTGTTTAGATTCAAGCCAGAGGCATCGTTAAATGTGGTTGTGGTATAATGCACTAATATGTTTTTCTTTAACCCTCTCCCTCATGGACAAATTCCATAGGAATAGGAGCAACTTTTCCTGCGGTCATCATTATACCCCAAGCATGTTCATGAGGTCCCATACATAGTTGGCACTAAAACTATGGTCTGACAGAGATAAGTACAGTCCTCAGCCCTCATCAAGCAAAGGTCTCTTTGCAACAGATGGAGACCATTACAGAAAAATCACAAGCAATCTAAATTCAGAGTTGTGAAGCCCAGTCCTAATAAATACATCTACAGAACATACCCACACATAATGTTCAGACCACGTTGTAGAAGGGGGAAAGAAAGGGCATAAGAGCATCAGGGAGTCTGAGGTGAGACTGTGACTCCTACTAATTTCAGAGACTTAACTCATTAAGTCTCACCAACATGACTGCCTCAACATGAAAAGAGCAAGGACTATAGCAAAATACACTCCAAAGTGAGTGAAGGAAAAACCCAGGAGGCCCAAACCGAATCAAAGTACTACAAGAAACCCAGGGATGCTGACATCAGGAGAAATAGTCTTCCCCAAGGAAGAGAACACCAGTTGGTTATCCAGTACCAAGTGGTCAGCCTTAAATACAACTATCCAAATAATGTTACACAGACTGACCATATAGTTAGAAATATATATATATATATATATATATATATATGCATATCAATTTATGCTTGTATAAACAAACAGTTGAAAAAGAGACAAGGAACCCAAAAGAGCAAAGAGAAGTTTATGGCAGTGTTTGGAAGGAAAAAAGCAAAGAGAAAAATGGTGTGATTGTATTGTAATCTCAAAAAGGGAAAAAAAACCATAATTTTCAAAAATAGAAGAGGGAGGAAGATGGTCAGATTAAATGTCTTAGCACCTCCATTTTGACCTACAGGTCTTTAGAAAAATCTAAAGGCAAGAGTCTTTCTGAGCGAAGAGCAAAACTGATAGAAAATTCTTGTTAGTCTGGAAGCAAAGTTAGAATTTCTATAAAAAGTAAAGTCATTAAGGTAATTTAAGTAAAAGATCATTTAATAAAAATGTGGTGAGAGTTAAAAGTTAAGAATTATTACCCAAAAGACAACTGGAAGAATATGGTATAAATATTAAAAACTACTTTAGTAGATTCCAGTAAGAAATTTGAATAAAAAATATGACACCTTAGGAGAGAATTGAGAAGGACAATAAACAGAAGTTCCCCATTGTGTTTCAAAAAGCAATAGTAATATCAATTGAACACATATATCTAAAATAAATCAGGAGTCAAGGTTTGCTCAAGGTACTGTTTCCAAGGGGAGCCCTCAGTGTGTATGGAGGCTTCTGTGTCTTCCTTGTCTATTGATACAGCGGGCCTCTGTGCTCATGGTGACATTTCTGTTTCCCACTGAATGTCATAATGTTGTATTGTGCCGCTCAGTGTAGTGCTCTCTGTTACCTTCCTATCTACAGCATCCATCTCTTCAGAGGAATTTTTCTTTTACAAAAAGGCTATTTTAGAGAGACAGTTAAACTTTAAATCTTCGATTCTAAAACCCCTTTTATCAATGAAGAACAGAGGCCCAGAGCCATAAAACTAGTTCATTTCAAACAGACAATTCTTTGATATTCCATATAGTTGCAAAAGACTCTTCAAGGAGTAACACCACACAAAACACACACACACATACACACCACACACACACACACACACACACACACACACTATTTTCACCAATGAGAATAGATTCCTCACAGAATCTCTTCATATGGGGTCATTCTTGACTCCAAATCGGACATTATATACTCTGATGATTCAACCTTTACTGTTCTGCCTAGGATATGACTATCACATTTTTCATAAAAGCTAAGAAACCCGTGAAAGTATTCTGGAGTAGTAGTCAGTAATTATCTTGAAACAGCAAATGTAAATTAGGACTGTCCTGAGCAAGCTAGGATGACTGGTCATATTACCATCAAAATATGCAGGAAAAAACTTTGCACTGAGGGTTAGTAACCAATGGTTTGTAGTTATTTCTCAAGAGTGAGACTTTGTAGCATCTCACTCTCTTGGACATCATTCTTCTCATGCTTCCTCATATCCCATACATAATATAGGATTTGTTTATTTCTAACCCATTTTTTTACCAATCAGACATACAGAGAGAATGTGTTCAAAGAAATAGGCATGACTTCATAATAAAAATAATAATAATACATCCACTTAAAATGTGTAGTATGTAGTGTAATGTCTTTGGAAAGTTCTGGCATGGACAAATATTGTTCTTGAACCATCTTAGGTCTACATACGATGGATCATTTATTACTCTTTGTTCTGCTAAGTAACACCCACAGCATCAACCATCATGGTTCACTCTTTCCTCATCAATATGCAAATGCAACACAATCTGTGAACCCCTTCTCTCAAAAACTGTTAAAAGCTGGTACATTGGGAAAATTAGTTTGCTCATCTAATCAAAAGTGGGATTGCAAATACCATGAAACCGCTATGTCCCTTGCTATTGCTTTTACCACTGGGACTTTTAAGGGTTCAAAGTAAAAAGTAATTAAGAGTTCCTAGGATTCACAAAGGCAAACATTGTCTGCATTCTGTGTCTTGAGAGTTAGATGGGTACAGCCACCAACCCATCACTCTTAGCATATTTCCCTGAGCCAATCAAATAAACTGACACATTTTCTCATGCCAAGTTAATTACATAAAGACCTGCTGATTGGTCAGTAGATTATAACCCAAACTGTATAGAATGGAATTAAGAATATGCTTCCCTTGTTTTTCCTGTCATCTTGAAAGTAATGCTCTCAAAAGAGGGCAGTCATTGAGGTTACTTCAATCTTGTGACAATTAAAAAATGAAACTCAACTTTTTTTTTATTTTCTGTTGTTCTCCTTCTGAGAATAATTTGGATTCACATACTTAAAAACTTAGTAAGACACCCTTCTCATTTCATAAGGGCTGTGTAATATTTCAATAATAAACCAGGAGTCTCTGCTTTCACAACAGCTGGAATACTTGCTCCTGTTCTTCCTGGAAACAGGGTGCTCTTATTCCTGCACGGTTCCCAGATTTAATGTGCATGTTTAGTACAGCACCTGTCAAGGGGACGTTGTTTATTTCCCATCACAAGCTCAGCTCCCAAGACTCACGCTGCAGGATGCCATTTGCACTTTAAAAGTTTCTCTCCTCCCAAACAGGGAAGAATTAAACACAATTAGGAAATTAAGGAAAGAGCCCAATGAGAGCATTTATTTTAATGTTCCATCTGGAAAATGTTAAAGTACAAACTTCAGAACCTAGCTACATTATTAGTCATGATTTAGGTGTTAGATGCAAAATTAAGAAGAAAGTATATAAGGATTAAAAACTAGCCTAACTGGACTATAATGAGACAAGCTGGAACTCTTGCCTTGACTACTGCTTGCTCAGTAGATGGTATTTGAGTTAGCACCTTATACATCACAGCCTAGGAAGAGGCAAACTCAAACATACCAAGATTCATGCCCAGTCTGATCATGTAGTGAAGGAATGAGTGAAAGAATAATGATAATAATAATAATAATAAATGTGGGATGGTTAGTAAGTATTCATTGGTCTTTTTAGTGACACATAGAAACAAAATGTTTTTCACATAGATTTATAGGACATTAGAGAATACGAAGATTATTTTTTCAAACATAAAAATATAGAAAAATAAGCCAAATTAAAAAAGCAAATACCAAGTTATTCTATTTCAAATTACCTTGTCAAACTAATAAGGTCAAAATAGGTCCAAATCCCATTGTGTTGTCAAGTTAGTAGTGTATTAGTAGTGTCAAGATAGTAGGTATTAACTAGAAGTGTAGTGAGGAAGACTACAGGGATGGGGATAAGTACATTTCTGGGTATAGACAGACCCTGCTCACTTTGAATCACTTACTTTTGAAAGGTTTTTGGTGGGTTATTTTTTTTTTTTTTTGGTTAGTTGGTTGGTTGGATTTTTTATTTTGTTTTTGTTTTTTCTTTTTTGTCTTCCTTTGTTTTATGTGGATATATTATACTTCAGTTTTAAAATAATGTATGATTAAGTGTAAAACTTAAGGAAGAGTGAAAAACATTCAAAAGTCCTTTTCCTAATCCAATACATTCTAAAGGGTCTCACATAAACGACATATCACTTTATTGGCAATACCTGAAGCCTTTAGCCTGTTTAGCAGTAGAGCCAGTGTTGAACTTGGGCACGTCATCTTCTGCCCCCGTACCTTGTGGGGTGGGCACTATTTTGCCTTGTTTTCAACCATGAGCTGTGAAGCAGCCTACTGGCTTATGTCTGCCGACCCTCATTGCAGAACTAACACTACTTGCCGTACGTATTGCAGGCGAACTGTGTGAGGAAAAGCTGGACTTCTGTGCACAAGATCTGAATCCCTGCCAGCATGACTCCAAGTGCATCCTGACTCCAAAGGGATTCAAGTAAGTCCAAGGCCAGTTGAGGCTCACAGTGGAGTCGGGAATTGGGTTGGGGGGGTTTCTTTGAGGAATGTGTCTCCTCCACCATCCCGAGTTTCACAATTTTGCCAAAGATTAAAGGATGGGTCATACGTACCCTAGTGTTTGTGACAGTTTTGCAAATAGTTATGTGAACCATGGACATTAATTAGCACAATAAAAGTAAATAAATAAATAATAAAGAGAAAGCTTACGTTCACCACAATGTCTAGGAAGCCCTTTGTGCTATGAAACAGCCTTTGAATTAGCTTCCTTACATGTAGTGAAAGGCCAATACAATTAAGTTTCTAACATCCACCAGGTAAACATATTTTAAAACGGAGAAAATGATTTTGGTGTAACTGAAAGTTCTATGGTCTAGAACAGCCAGTTGACTATGGAAGCTGAGATATTGTGGCCAGGTTACTCTGTTCAGCCCTGGCTTGTGTGTGTTGTCTTTCTGGATTTATTGATAAGGACCATTATTAACCTTATTCTTGACACCCAACACAACCCATTCACACTTCATAGAGAGTTCCCTCAAGTGAGCTAAAAGATTAATGAAAATCAGTTCTTTACCCCTCACAATATTTCTGAAATATGCTAGATACCAAATTAGATGATACCTTTGTTACAACCTTGAAAAATATTAATGATCTATCAGCAGTTTTAGAGCTGGCAGTAACTTAATCGTCATCTCACCTAGATTCTACATTTTAAATAAAGGTAAATTTAGCCAAGAGAAGTCAGGTACCTGTGGTAAGACTGCACATTAATTTACTGGTAGAGCTGAAACTAGACTTGATATTTGCAATTATGTGGTTCATGGAAAATATATCTCTATTAACAAGCTTTCTAGTTTATTATTACCTCAGGAATATAATATTAATACCTTGGAATCAACTTTAGACTGGATTCTAAGAGATGACTAAGGTACATTCAGGAGTAAAGCTATGGCTACATAACTGAAAAAGACATTCTCTACTCTACCAGCCAGTATTTGTGCAACCTCTATAGTCACCAAAGTATGGTGACACCATGCTTCATTTCTGTAGTACTTTAGCACTATGTACCCCGCCATTCTTAATTTTCTCAGTAGAGTAACCAGAGCCTCATAGTTGGACATCTCAGAAGTTAAATTCACTCATGTCTAGGAAACATTTATGAGCAAATGGAATTTGAACTGTATATCGAAGAGTTTGATTTTTTTTTAAGTGCTAAGAATTCAACTCAGCCTTGCATTTGCTAGACAAAGGCCTTCCCCCTCATCTGTGTCTTCGGGCTTTTCACTTTTAATTATATTTTTGGGAGGCTCTTACCTAGTTGCTTAGGCTGCCCTCAAACCTGTGATTTGTTCACTTAGTCTCCTGAGTTGCTAAAGCTGGCCCTGCAATGATGTCGATAATTAGTAAATAAATTATCACATACTCAGAGGAGAGTGGTGATGTGAACTCAGTACTGACAGAGACCACTGTCTTTTAGTGGTTACAGTAAAGTAAATAGTTACAGAATTTTCTTTTCACAATATTACCCATCAATTTGTTTTAAAATTTAAATTTTTGGAACATATGTATATAGTTGTAGCACATCCTGACTATATTCACTATCTTACTGAGAAAAAAAATTGATGTAATTCTGAGTCCATCTTTAGTTATATTTAAGTTCCAATTCTAGCCAAAAGCTAAAAGTATTGTAAATTTTTTTCATTTTATGCACAATGCTGCATTGCATTTTATTCTACCCAGCTCTGCATGACAATTGCTTTACCTCCCAATGGCTTTGATCTGCTCACAGGCAAGGTTGGCACGTCAAATCTACATCACTTATGTGGCGCGAACATCACTAAGTTGCAGAGAATTAATAAGGATGGTTTCCTGGGACACTGTATCTGATAAACAGGTTCCACGGGACTTTGTGTAATTCTAAGACAAGTTATTAGTAAGACTTAATGGGAACAATGTTAAACGAGGGTAGCTTGCTTTAGACAAAGGACTAATTCTTAATTAAGTATTTTCTATTGCTAGCAATTAGGGCATACTCTTGAGAGTATGCCTTGCTGCAAGCTGCAAGCTAGGTGGGCTGATTTGAAGGCCCTCTGCTTTCACCAGCCAGTAATGCAGGAGCTCGTTTCAGAGCTGTATGGAGTTGAGCTGAAACAGGTTAAGTCAGAGTGAGCACTATTACTCCCGTCTTATAAATAATTGCACACTGTGGGAAGCATTGCTGCAGAAAGAAAATGGTCTTGAAAGCCAAACAAGAGGAAGCTGGTGGAGAAAATCTTTACTGAGAAATGCTGTTTGGACAAGTTGTAATGTTACTTCAATTTCATTTTCCTATTAATAGGTTGGCAGAGCTGCTTTGACTTTTCAAGCTTTATCATATATTCATAAATCTCCTGAATTGCTGTGAGATATTTTTAGAGCATGATACACCATAAGCAGTATTTTCAAGATTACATCTTTCTTAGTTAGCATTTAGAGTCCTAAGCAGTGTGTGTGTGTGTGTGTGTGTGTGTGTGTGTGTATCCTATTTTACATTCTATATTTCCTCCTTCACTCCTCATCAGATAGTAGAATTGAAGAGATGTGATAGACTTTGTTGGTCATAGAAGAGGTGAGAAACTCTTATTTAAATGTCTTAAAACAAGAGAAAGACAGAATAATCAGTCATGATATAGCTGCTAGTTCTAAGGGACTTAAAAAGTAGTACTTGGGGAAAAGAGGGCATAAAATATCTCCTAGACAGCTACTGTGGTAAGTGTATGATTCTCTTATCTTTTACTTTGATTTCTTTTCTCAGATAAATAATTCAGAGCGTTTCGAAGCCTGTCTTTTTTTTTTAATGTTCAGCACTTCAGTGGCGCTGCCCACATTAACATTGATGGAAGTTCCCTTCCAGGTCCCCGTCCATCTATTCGAGAATATGGATGACCACTTAGGGTCCATTTAGCTTCGGGCTTGCTGTGTACTTCTCTTTATTTTGATTTAGTATTAAAGTCAAGCAGCCTTAGTGCAAGCATGCCTCTGAATGAGCTCATTTTGTTCCTAAACCATACATGCAACATGCATGGCTCTCTTCGAAGACCTGTACCCCCATTTGTTTTAATATGTCAGCTCTCCAGGAAATAACCTTATTTTGCATCTTTGGATAATACCCTTGGCACTCTGTAATGCCACATTTAATCAGGTAATTCTTTTAACTATCTTTATTCATTTTAAATATATTTTTATAGAATACTGCAAAATTAGTAGAGAAGGGCAGCCCTGCTTACACACTGAAGGCCTAAAATAAGCCACAAGCCTAAAATCAGCAATAGGCCTGTCATACATGTATACTAACACCAAGTCTTGGGTCTCACTGGAAAAACATTGAAACAGATGGCTATAAGCTATTGTAAACAGGCAGCTTTTGTGGAAATTTACCAGCCTGGGTAGTCATAGACCTTGTAAATAGGTAGCCTTGGCAGACAATACCAACTTAGATAAGGACAAGTGAGTCATAGGCAGAGTCATAGCAACCTGTCCCCTGAACCTTCACCCAGCCGATACCCTGTTCTGAAAGATATCTGTATTCCCTCTGAATACCCACTCTCCAGTGTGATCCCCCTCCCCACGTCCTGCCTTTTTGTGTTTATAACCCCTGTGTGAATAAGTAAAAATTATGATTTGATTTAAAAAAAAAATATGAAGAGGAAAAAAAAACTTTCTAGGAAAATCAAGGGTCCTGAAACTTGAAGCCTCTTTTTGATAATTCTGATATCTAAGTAAATGGTAGTGACTTTACACATAGTACTCTATTTAATATTTAATATACCTGTAGAGCCGACCTTATACCATCTTATAGGTTAGAGAGGGCCACTTGGCTGTTAAATGCCTTAGTTAAAATGTTGTTTTACAGCATGTGAAATAGTCTAGACAGAGGAAGACAGATGACGTGAGACGTGTGACCCCTGTCGAGTAGACAATACTAACCATCACAGTGAAGTGATGGCTGTTTAATTAATTTGATTGTGGGTATTAGTGTGTATGTATATTAAACATCATGTGGTAAGTGATCAAATATAAGTTTCATTAAGCTAGAAAATAGAAATGTTGATTTTTTTTTAAAAGGCAAAAAAAAAAAGCAGACTTAACAATGAAGCCAGACTGGAATATGAATTCTATTTAACTGCAAAGGTAAAATTAAAACATGGATTAAAGTGGATTAAAACATGGTTTTCTGTCATGTATATATACATATATCTATACACACACATAAAATAGAAACTAACCCTTCTTTAAACTCAAATAAAACACATTCATGGAACCCCATTATTTAAAGTGAACAAATCATGACAAAAGAATGTTCTAAGGGAAGAATAGAGGATGGAGAGGGCTATCAAAAGTGTTATCTCCTCTGTGGCCATGCTTGTGCAAGTTCCAATCTCCCTATAGCTTCACAACACATATGGGAGTATAACTTTCATCCATGAAATGCCTGAAACGCTGGATGCTACCAAATCCCATATATACAATTTTCCCCCTATACTTTTTACACATTATAAAATGCAGCTAGCAAAGGAGGTTCAATAAGAAATGAGCAGTAGTTAGTAACAAAACTTTTAACAAGCTACCTAATGAAAATTATGTAGAGGTATTTCCTTGGTCTCTATTATACTGTACTCTGCTCATCTTTCCTAGCATGTAAGAAGATGCTATGCCTACAAGATGGGAGCAGTAGGCATGGTGACATTGAGAATGGCTACTACCTAAGGGTATCCCAAACACATTTACTTCAGTGCTGTAAAAGTGGATGTGATTATTAACACCCTGATTAGTTCCTGTTGGAGAGGAGCAGATATCCAACATTGATAAGTGGATGAAAAGTATTCAGGGCTTTCAAAATATACTTATTCTTTGTAAGTTTGCCAGCCATGTTAGCATATGACTATAGTCCTAGCACTCAGGAAGGACAGGCAGGATGATTGCAACCTGTTTAAAATCTGCTTTGTAAATTTACATATAAGACTGTCATCAACCAAATAGACAATGGAATTTAAAAGAACGTAAAATGAGGACACTGTCGACAACATAAGGAGAGAAAAGACAGTATGTGAAGAAGTGTGGAAGAAACTCTGGTACGGTTTCTTTGTAGTTGGATTTGGGTTGCTCCTGATCATTAAGGAGTTAATTATTATGCTGACTTCAAGTAAGAGAGCCATGCCTCTCTAGTGCAGTCCATCCATTAATTAGAAGAACAAAACCGTTGTAAATAAGCTTTCATACTGAGATGGCGTTATTTTAGCCAGATGAAATGCCGTGGCTCTTTGTGATCTTTTGGCTCAGTCAAATTTGAAACTTTATCTCTTTCTTGAAACAGGTGTGACTGCACTCCGGGGTACATTGGTGAGCATTGTGACATTGACTTTGATGACTGCCAAGATAACAAGTGTAAAAATGGTGCTCACTGCACAGATGCAGTGAACGGATACACATGCGTCTGTCCTGATGGCTACAGGTGAGGACAGGAGAACACGTTTGTGTGTATAGAGATGTATCTAGGACTCTTAGCACATCTAGTCTAACCTAAGGTTCCTTTGTATTTGTCAGCGGCTTGTTCTGTGAGTTTTCTCCACCCATGGTTCTCCCTCGCACCAGCCCCTGTGATAATTTTGATTGTCAGAATGGAGCCCAATGTATCATCAGGATAAATGAACCAATATGCCAGTGTTTACCTGGCTACCTGGGAGAAAAGTGTGAGAAACTTGTCAGTGTGAATTTTGTCAACAAAGAGTCCTATCTTCAGATTCCTTCAGCCAAGGTTCGGCCTCAGACCAACATCACACTTCAGGTGAGAGATCTCCCTGCTCCCCGCAGCAAGCTGAAGAAAAATTTCCACATGGGAAAAGCTTCAGATGTTTTCCTTTCAATATTTATGTTTTTAAAATAAAATAGAAACCAGTATGTTAATTCATTAAAGTGGGAGGGGGCTGGGCACCAAAGTTGCCACTTCATTTGACACTGTAGGTGAAAATGTCTTGCCCCGTTAACTTTTATGGAGCTGTCATGTCTTCTCTGTACACTCGAAAGGCTTTACTTTAAAAACCTGCAGCTGAGAAGCACACAGCTGAGACACCACACTTTAACTTGGTTTTCTATCATCTGTAACTCTTCACCCAAAGCCTTGAGAAAAAGCCATGGAATTAACAAACATTTTGATGTCTTACCACAAAGACAATTACCACTAAGCAAGTCATTCATACCCCTGAGGTGTGAATTATAGGAGATTAGGGATAATAAATGTAGAGTATTTGGACAAATTGGAGTTACATACTTGTTTTATCTGGTAAGGAAAATTTTTTACTGTATTTTAAATTTAAGTGGCTTTGACCCACTTTTTATTGACTTCCCTCTTTGTATATTTTTACCCTGACACTGACAATACAGTCATGGCTTCTGAAATTACTGGTCAAGTATGCTAGGAGGGAGCCAGGTTCCCTTTAAGAATCTCTCTACACCTTCCCGCTTCCCATGCTTGCCACATTGAACAACTATGTAACGTACACTGGCATTAGAACTTTTCAATTCTCACTTTCACTTAAGTACTTTATTAGTCACCCCAAAGAAAAAAATAATACAAAAGCAGATATTTCGTATTTCTCTCTGCACAAAGCATGAGTTTAAATAATTTTGTATGGGCTATCCTTAATATAGTCATATTTAGTTTGTGCCAAGGATAAAGCTTAGAGTAGGAGAAAAAATACAGATACACAAAATTTTCCAGTAAAGACAATTCTGACATGACAGCTAACAGATCTACTTAGATATTTGTTATTGGTTTTCTTAATTACTTATGGATTTATTTACAACAGAACAAATATCAAATTGCCTTTAAGCAGCAATTTCAACAAACTTTTTTCTCATACCCAAAAGACAAACCATAATGAAAACCCCCCATTCACTTAGCAGCCTGTTTCTTTGCATGAATACATTTGGTTGACTGTGCATCCTAACATCAGGGCTACCTCCTACTAGATTGCCACAGATGAAGACAGCGGCATCCTCTTGTATAAGGGTGACAAAGACCACATTGCCGTGGAACTCTATCGAGGGCGAGTTCGAGCTAGCTATGACACCGGCTCTCACCCGGCTTCTGCCATTTACAGGTGAAGATCTCTCAATTACTGGTAAAGGTGAAAAAATCTTATTCAATGAAGAACTGTTTCTCTTCTACAATTGTATAATGGGAAGGGGTGGGGATATTTTGGTGATTGCAGGTGGCCTAGTTTTTTATGAGCTACTAAAGCAGGATACCTGAGACCAAGTTACATAAAAATCAGATATTTATGTTTTATATTTTGCAAACTAGAAAATCTAGGATCAGAACAACCACGTCTTTCAAAGAAGTTCCTTTTAGCAGTATGATTCTGTGGTAAGGGAGGGGGAACACATGCTAGAGATACAGGGAGGGAAGGGAGCTACTCTCCCTTCATTGGGGACCCACTCATGCTAACTAACCATTTCCCTGAAGATCCAGACAATGCCAAGGTGAGGGCAGAGCCCTCATGGCCTGATTATCTTTTAGCTTCTCTACCCTCTACTCTTCAACATTGTTGCATTGGAGGTTATATATTTTATGAGTGAATTTAATGGCATATGCAAGCTATTGCAGTCATCTTTACAGTAGCCTTAGTACCAATAATCCCTGATCATGCAGCAGACATTACTTACATGCATAGGTTTTCCAGGCAGGTTAACCTAAATGAATTAAGCAAGTCAACTGTAGGGAAAGACTAGGTCTTACTCCTTCATTCTTTACAAAACCCTTCATTGTAAGTGTATATTCCTCCATGACAAATAGCCTCGGCGTAGGCAATTCAGTACAAATGTTGCAATAGAGGGAAGTAAAATCAAATCCCTCTTTATCCAGCTCTCCTTGAATGCTGCCAAGTAAAAATATGGTTCCTAGTTTAGTGTTCTTTTGTTTACTCAGTGTGAATTTTTCTCCTCCTTAAATACTGATTCATATTTATGTTAATGTTATTGTTTCAAGACAGAGTTTTCCTGTTTAGTCCTCTCTGTCTTGAAGCTCGTTCTATAGACCAGGCTGGATTCCAATTCAGAGATCCACCAGCCTCTGCCACCTGTGTGTTGATGCCACCACGCTCAACTTGATTCACATTTATAATGCCGTGTTTATGAACAAAACACATCTGTTGGCTACACACACTTGGCCACACATGATTAGATGTTGACTATGACATAAAGTATAGAAAGCGATCTCAATCTGATGGGTGTTATCTGTGAATATGGAAATGTGTTTCAAAAGCCTTCATAGCTCATTAGCTCCTTCAAACAGTTAGGGGAATGTAGATGCCAGTTGCAGCCAGGAGTAGTAGGACTTACTTAGTCCTGGTGGTGAGTTAGGCCACTTGGAACTATTTAGAGCATAAAAACAGATGCATAATTATTGGTCTTCAAGTGGAATACAATGGTTATTTCACCTCCAAATGTTGATGAATTACAGCCAACATTTTGTATCATTAGACTTTAAAGTATATAGTGTTTCAGCCCATAAAAAGATTTCATAAATCTGCGGTCCGTTTTGTTTTACTTTATTTTTTGCTTTTTGATGACAATGGTGCACTATTAGAACCACTCCAAACCATAATAAAGATTCTTGGGTTGGCATATTAAAGCTAACATTCACATAAAACATACCAAAATATTTCTAGATAAGTTGGAAGAACCCAAGTGATTTTCCCAAATGAAGGCTTACTGAAAATGGCTTTTTATGTTTGATTCTAGGTTCACTGACATTTTTTTTACCTCAATGAAAAATAGTGTATGTCCTGTGACTGTTATAAAAATAATACTATGTTGCACACTCTCCATTTTAAACTAAAAGCTCATGTTTCTATTAGAAAATTATATAATAGAGACATGTTACTTGGTCTTGACAACAGGTTCTATTTAATTCTTCTATTTGAAATTAAAGCATGCAATTGGGACAAACTATTGCATTATTTCATAGTTTAAAAAGACAGGCATCAATTAGTTAATATTTGAGTATTATATTATATTATATTAAATTATAATACTTAAATAGTAAGAAAATTATTAATACTCTAAAGACCTAAAGGTAGAAAGGCATGGAAGAAAAACTGAGAAAGTCTTCACAAGAAAGTAAGAGATTATCAAAGCATAATACTTATAAAAAAGAAAAGTGGAAGCCAGGTGGGGTGGCATATGCCTTTAATCCAAGCATTTGGGGAACAGAGGCAGGTGGATCTCTGGGCATTCAAGGCCAGCCTGCTCTACAAAGGGAGCTCCAGACAGTCAGTGCTGTATAACAAAGAGACCCTGTCCCAAAAAAATAAGTAAATAAATAAAAAAAATTAAAGCATGAATGATGTCAGAAAAGAGTTAAGAAATAGATGTTTGTGTTCCAGGCATTTACATAAAGTAAAGGCGGACATCAAAGGAGAGGGTGGGTGGAAGGACTTCTGCAAAATTCCACAGCACACTATTTTGAGTCGTGAACCATTTGGATGTCATCAGCTCTCACAGAATACTGAAGTAATAGGAAAATGTGCTCTGAAAATTGTGTCTCAGGCACATTTCATCACCTGTCTGGTCTAAGCACACAGACAATAAATAATAGTGCTGTCTTGTGAGATTACGCTGAGAAGCAACCAACAAGCAAAGTATCCGGATAATTAATATAAATCAGTAAATCATAATCGCTACTGGCATCATAGATTCACAATTTCCGAAAGTGACTTTTAGAAAGAAAAGATTACTCCAGTACAAAGATGTTTCGCTCACATTCTTTACTCACAGGCTGGTGTCTTGGCATCAGCACAGGGTGGGTTTATTTCTAATCCTCTGTTTCCCTCCACATTCACTTTGCAGTTTAAGGCTGCTCTAGTTTTCTGGCTTATCTTCAAAGGACAGAAAAATGGCATAGCCTCCGTGGTTGTTCCTCCCTTTCTAGACGTTATGAGTGAAAGTGCTATTTCTGCATTCATTTAGTCAAAATCCATCGGTAGCGCCATGGCAATCAGCTCCTGTGAGGTACTTACAAACTATTCAGTTAAATTGAATTTTCAAACCATTTTTCCATTCAACTCTATATAACATTATGAAAAGTACACACTGTTGCTTTAAAAGACATAATTAAATATTCGTATTTTAGGTAACTGTTCTGGCTCGGTTTGGTTTCCTTGCTATAATTTATGATATATAAATTTTACATTTCTGAGGAACATTTTCCTACATTGTGTATTGCATAATGCTCTATGAGTAAATTGCATTTGGGAATTAATTTTTTACATCAAGTACACCTTATCATTTAATTGATTTCTTCTCAACTTGGATTAAAATAGATTTTATTTTTTAATATTAGAGAAAAACAATCACATACACATGTACTGTTCCTGTAGGATTGTTTCTTAGTTTAAATTCCCGTATTTACTTAAATTCATTTAATATTTGTGTAAAAAAAATCAACATATCAGTTATTGTAACAAATGGGCGGCAGAAGCATAAGGATTTCACAGTCTAGACCTAGATTGATAAGATTTACTTCAAAGTTTTCTAATCTACATAAACAGATTATTGTTTATAATAAAAATATGCCATTTTTTCATAGATGAAACAAAAGTTTGTTTCAAAGATAACAATTTTGTAAGCTTTATCAACTACTATTTATAAATTATGAGGGCTACATGTAGCTTAGTGAATAGGAACACTAGATGCTCCTCCAGAAGGTTGCCTGGATCCACACTAGGAAAACTTAGTACACTGTTGTGTGTCCAGCTTCAGGTATCCAGTGCCTGTAGCCTCTGCAGACATCTACACACATGAACACATACCCACACACACACAGAGACACATAGACATAATTTATAAAAAAGAAATACTAAAGATTTTTTAAAAATAGGACAGTTATGGGTGTGGTGAAACAAAAGATGTAAATTTTTCTGCAGTACAAATAAAGTAGCATCTTTTATCAACTTATTTCTTACATCATCACAGAAGACTGGCTTTTTTTTTTTTAGATATGTATAGATTCCTAGCATTTGGAATACAGTCAGTAGTGGAAGAGGCTGTGCGGGGCCCCTCCACTCCTTTCTGATTGGGGGTGATCCAGGGTTTGAAATTTTGCATGCCTTACAAACTACCAGGCACTGTTGTGTTCTGTGGAGTATACTTGAAGAATAACTTGTACAAGTGGAATCGTTTAAGCCGTTTTTCGAGCTCATGACATTCATCTCTTTCCGCGCCTAAGATACATATCAGGATTGATGCTGTTTTTACATTAACCACGTCCACAATATTTCTATCACAGCAATCATCAAATGCTACAAATATAGGTTCGTTCTCCCTAATGTCTGGTTGTTAACCATTTGCTAACATCCACAATCTATAGGGTTCCAATCTGCAACAACAAATGAAGTTAGCTGTATAACAAATGATCAAACGCAGGTTCTGGCAACATGTCTGCCTTTTTAATTTAGAGAATGGCATATAGAACAACTAAACAATAATGCCATGAAGAGTGGGATAAGGAATGAATTCATAACCATAATTCTGTATTCAACACTATTCAGAGGCTAAAAATACATTATAATCCTCAAACACAATGCTAATTTGCTGTGTATCAAAGCAACTTTCTTTTAACTGATATTAACATAAATTTAGAAAGAATTTTTTTACAAAATTTTTAATGAAAAGGAAATACTCCTTTCTTAACATAAATATTAACATCATACACAAAATGAGATAGCTTCTTCAGAAGCACTGTGAAAATTAGCCAGTCAGAGTGATCTACCATGCTGGTGTGCAGGACTGTGCGTGTAGGAGACAGTTATGACTGCATGGCATTTTCTTCTGCCTGCTGTGAGGTTTCTTTGGCTTTATGCTGTCTGCATTATCCAGTTCCACAAGATGGAGGAGAAGTAGTAGAAGAAACAGAAGAGGAAAAGGGAAGAGGGAGAAAGGTGGACAAACAGAAATAGAGATGGAGGAAAAGAAGAGCCTCACCACAATGGAACAGTAAAGATGGTCTCCATGGAGACACACAGAATGTTTACATCCTTTTTAAGATAAACATTCAGCCATTCTCACGTAATAAAAAATGTATGTTCCCATTTGGATGGGG